GTAATTCTACCTTTCACAAATGTGAGCCAGGGCCATCCTAACTCCCAATCTTGGATCTCCTAGGATATTAATAAGAATTTATTTTCAGTCTATTTTCAAAACATGTAGCTATACGTTTTAAAAAATATTCTAATGTTATACAGTATCAAAATTTCTGTGAAATTATAGTAGATAACTCTGGAGCCAGATTACTTAGGTTCATATTCCACCACTACCACTTACTACTTACTATGTGACCTTGTACAAGCTGTTTAACCTCTGTACTTCAATCTCCTCATCTGTAATCAGATAATAACAGCACCTACCCTCTTAGTGTTGTCATGAGGATTAACTTGGTTAATATATGGAAAGCACTTAGAATATTGCCTGGCAAATACAGTAAGAATTCAATTAAAAGTGGGCCATTATTATATTCTTTCTTAATCCTTTTGTTGATAACAACAACTCATTTACTAAGTCTCCACACTTCGGTGAAACTGGTTTAATGAGAAGATTTTTGAGGCTGTTTCTTAAAACAGTAAAAGTATTGCAGAGGATCAATACTAAACAGTCAAGACTAAAAGACTAAGATGGCTAAACTAAAAAAGGACAACCAAGAACTGGTGAGAAAATACATCACTGATAGGAGTAAAAAATGGTATAACCACATCGGAAAATTGAAGACATTTATTGAACAAATGCATACCCCATGGCCCAGCAATTCTATTCCTATGTATAAGTAACAAAAATGTTCACAAAAAGATATGCACTGAAATCTTCGTGCCAGCACTATTCTTAACAGCAAAAACTTGTAAAATTTCCAAGTGTCCGTCAACAGTACTAGATGTAATCACACAATGGAATACTATACAGCACTGGAAAGTAACAATCTACCACTATCCACTCACAACAATAAGGGTGAGTTTCACAAGCACAAAGTGAAAAAAGTCAGACACAGGAGAGTATATACTGTATAATTTTAATTATAGAAAGTATTAAAAACTGGCTGGACTGAATGCTGTGATGCAACAGGCTGCCTGCAGGAAGGGACAGTGCTCCCTTGGGTTCTGGGCTGCTGCCAGGAGATATCCAGCAGCTGTCAGCCCTTTCAGAAACTGCTTCTGTTGAAAGGAACAGCAGTGTCCAAAGCCATGCCCCTTCCTTGGGTGGTCAGTACCTGGAAACACAGGGACATGATGCCTGTTTCCCATGAAACTTAGGACATCTCTGGAAGGCCTTTCCAGAACTCTCTAAGGCATCAACTGAGGTCTCCACTGAAACTGAACTGAAGCCCAACTTCTCTCTCTGCCCAGTCCTGCTCCCTTCCTTTCTTTCCCCTTCCACAAGTGTTGATCCCAAGAGTTCTCCCTAATAGACTTCCTGAATCCTAATCACACTCTCAGAGTCTTCTTCCCAGGGTACCTTCAGTACAAGTTAATTGGGTCTATAACATTAGATGTGAAAACAGGAATAACTATTGGGAAAAGGGTGAGCAGTAAACAGAAGGGAGCAAGAAAGAGAACCTCTGGGTGCTGACAAAAGTCTTTAAAAAAAACAATCTGGGTGCTGGTTGTATGCCTCTGTCCAAATAGGGGGGAAAAACTCATTTAATTGCACCTATGAAAGGTGCACTTTTTCTTGTATATGTTATATACTTCAATATCAAGTTAAAAGAAAAGCAGACAATTAGAAAATGATCAGAATAGGATAGAACCTTAAAGATCACTTAGTCCTACCTACTTGTGTGCATACTTTAAATAACCATTTACTGTGCATTTAAACACAGTCCAGAGAAGTCTAAAGAAGTCAAGCCTGAAATCAAAAGCCAGCTGGTAATAACCCAAGCCCAAAACTGTGCCTGGACTCCTCAAGAACAATCTAGTATTATTTTTACTATGCCAATCTCTTGTTGGTTGTGATCAGAGTTGATCTGAGGCCAAGGAATGACCTGTTGCAACCAGCATACTGATGGGATTCAGGATACATGACCCCAAAATATGGCGCCTGGGCATTTAAGAAAATAGCAGAAGTAGGAAGGTCACTCTCACATTCCCCTTGCCTTTTCTCCCTTGAAGCAGGCCATAGAACCTAGCAGACCTTCTCCTAAAGTAGGTCATAAGACCCTCATTCCCAATGTGAAGAAAGGAACATCTCTATCTCCGAAAACACAGGGTCACAAAGAAGAATTCAAACCAACAAGCCTTGCTCAGCTCCCCTAAGTTTACTACCATTAGATCACACCCCTCTGTCTGATCATGTTCCAATACCACTGTCCTCATCAAACCTAAGTATAAAAATACATACATTTCCCTGTTTCTTTGGATCTTAATTTCTGAAGGCCCCAAGTCACATAAAACTTGTACTAAATAAGTTTGCATGCTTCTCTCTTGTTAATCTGTCTTGTTATAGATGTCTTAGCCATAAACCTAGAGGTGAGTAAGGAAAGAAATATTTTCTTGCCTGCAATGCCAATAACTCAGCTTTGCCTTGCAAGAAGGAAGGTTTAAGGTAAACCAAAAGGTACTTCTGGAACCATTAGGTACCTTTACTTTTGAATTTTCCCTTAGTAACACATCCTGGTACAAATACACAATGTATTATTATGCAGTCATAAAGAAGAATAAAATCATGGACTTTGCAGTAAATTGGATGGAGTTGGAAACTAAGTGATCTATCACAGCAACAAAGAACAGAATACCACATGTTCTCACTCATAAGTGGGCTCTGAACAATAGACACATGAGCACAAAAGAGGGACCAGCAGTTGCTGAGCGCTACTAGGGAAAGGAGAAAAGGGAGGGAGGAGGATGGAGAACACATGACAACACAAAGGGTACCTGGTCCACTACCAGGGGAAGTGAGGGCCCGTTGGAAGCCCAAACTTCACGGGCAAACAGACTACTTATGTAGTTAATCCCCACTTGTATCCAACATCTCTTAAATAATAATTTTTTTAAAACCACACACACACACCTGGCTCTAAAGTCAGAAGACATAAAACTCTTTCTAATTTAGACAAAGGAGCATGTCTGACCCTGTGTGGTATCCCTCAAGAAATAAGTTTCCATTTTACTATGACTATAGCTGGCTGTTTATCTTTATTTATCTACCCGCCTCCCCATTCCCACCATTTTAAAAGCATATTATAGTGAATTTACTTGGTAGAATCCCCTATCTCTGTCATGTTTAGATAGGGAATAAGAAACAGAAATCAATCAAAATAGTTCCTCAGTAGGGAAGGTAAATTCATTCATCTTCCTAGTCAGTATTTAATGCAGCTATTGATCATAAACATTCCTGACCCTAAACTCACTTGTGTCATTCCCACATTAAAAAAATTCATCTTATAAACCAAGAGTGCTTCAGACCAGATGACTGTCTTAAAATAATGATGATGATTATGACCTCTGCAGCCAAAGGACAGATTGGGGAAACTACTGGAACAAAATTGTTACTTTTTTCCAAAACAGTTTGGTCCTCTTTGAGATGCAAGAACTAAAGGTCACAGTGGTTCCTAGTAAACACAAGCGCTACCAGTGGCTAATTCATATGAACACATTACTCCAACAAAGAGGGAAAAATATGAGGACCTTTACCTAATGTGAAGTTTCCATGCATGATTTAGGTTAAATCTGAAAGAAGAGTCAAATACATTTTAATCTTTTGGGGGGGGGGGGTTGGAGTCTCACTCCATCGTCCAGGCTGGAGTGCAGTGGCATGCTCACAGCCACCTAGCGTCAACCTGCTGGGCTCCAGGGATCCTTCTGCCTCAGTCTTCCAAGTAACCAGAATTACAGGTGTGTGCTACCACATCCAGCTAATTTTTTTATTTATTGTAGAGACGAGGTCTCACCAAGTTGCCCGGGCTGGTCTCGAACCTGCGGCTCAGGCAATCCACTCACCTCAGCCTCCCAAAGTGCTGGGATTACATGCTGAGTCACCAAACTCGGCCCATTTTAATCTTTTAGCTTACTGCTACTGTTGTTTTTGTCTGTTTTCCTTGGATAAAGAGGTAACAGTGTACAACCCCAAAACTAAGGTCCAATAAAAATTTTTAGGCTTGATCCCAAAGAATAGCCAAATGCACTTGGCTTCCCTTTTAAATTTTTTATGGAGGGAGATATCACAGAGCATATTCAACTTAATTATTTAGATCTTTTTAAAACAGGTTGCTTCTCATTTAAGGGAATTCATCTCCCTTTAAGACAGGGTTGAAAAATAACACAATAATAATGTGCATCACATTCTTTATCTTAAAACCACAAGAAGCTGGCCGGGAATTTCCCACCCACTGTTTTTGAGGTCATTCATTGATTTATGCATTCATTCAACAAATATTTTTTTGAAAGCCTACTCTGCCTTGAAGTTAAAACCTAATTAAGTCCTCTTTATATATGGATTTAAAAAAATCCCAAACATCCATTTTGACTAAGAAGTAGAATTCCAGAACCCTACCCCCAATATCAAGAAGCAATTTTACTTCCTGACTCTACTATGTTCAGTCCTTCACTAAAGAACATGATAAAGAATGTCTCCTCACTGTTTTTTGGTTTTTTTCTTAAGATACTATGCTTTTCTTCCTACTAAAATCCCTTAAGCCCCTCCAAAATTCAGAGGAAGCAAACATGAGACCAAATCTGTCCAACAGGGAGGGTGACTTAATACCTTGTTAAAGGGACAAGATCAGTGTTGTCACAGCTGGGTCTGTAACATGACCAGCAGTTACAAGAAGAACTTGTGGCACACCTTCCCAACCTACAGCCCTGTCTGTAGAGAACATTCCCTCCTTCACAACTGGGACCAAGACTCCTAATAAGAGCAAGAGAAACCTCTCTCCATCTTCCCTTTCCCAAGAAGGCTGACTCTTGGGGGCTACCTCTAGGGAAAATACTCCAGGTATGCTGAGTGTTTAGAAGAGAACTGCATATCAGAGAAGGATCAACAGGTCTGTTGATGATACTAGCTGTGTTAGTAAGAGTGACTTTAACATTGCTGCAGTGAAAATTTTAAAAGCAGGCTACCTCAGTTGGTCCAGCATACATCATGGGGGATGGGAAGATGGCCACCACTGTTGTTTCAGGATTCAGGACTCCTTCCTCCAGCACTGCAGCATGCTGCTTCATACGCCACATCAAAGGAACATCATCATCCTTTGTCCAGCCTCCCAGAGGGTGGAGGAGGAGGACAGGGCGCCTGTAGCCCCTCTCTAGAAGTTGCTTATGGGTATCCTGCATTAACAGGGCATGTCCATTGTGCACTGGGTTGCGTAATTGAAATGCAAACACAGCATCTGCAAAGAGAATTTCCAGGATTAAGAATAGAACATTTCTAACAGACTACCTTCCAAAGAATAAGCAATTTTTCGGGAAGCTTGATACTTAGGGTTATGCAAACATATGCATACTTAGAAATCAGAAAACTAGTGAAAAACTTGTACTACCTTGACCATCTACTCCAGGGCAATGTGACCTATATTTCTGCTAACCAATAGCAAGCAAATCTTACATACTTGAGGATATATAATATAAAGGTCATAAATTTATAACAATGACTTTCTGCATTCATAGCAAACAAGAATAATGAGACTTTCTGATGCCAACATCCTGATACACCTGTTCACAATATATATAAATTTTCGGTCTGTGCCTCAGTTACCCACCAGATCAATCCCTCCATAAGACATACTGTCTATTAAAGGGAAAAAGAAAGGTAGAGATATTTTATTTTTCAAAAATGTACTTACTATCCAAACATACTCATTTTTATACTGACAACTTTGCTTGACTAAAACACTATTTTGCTTTATAATCTAAGGTCTGGATTTTGGATTACAGTTTAGTAACAATAATATCCCTTATGAGGGTCATTGCTATTACTCAATGAAAACTAACAGACCGAATGAATCAGTTAACTCTCTATCCCCTGCTTACAACTCTGGCTTCATTCCTACATATTGTTTGCTTCCAGGAAACCTTTCTTAAAAGGTGTGGTTCTCTGGAGTCTAGCATAATTTCACAAAACAGAGCGACAATCCAGTTAAAGAAGCTCTGTATTTTACTGCCCTTCCAACACCTGGCACATCATCATGCCATGCTGATCTAAGCTTGACTCAGGGAGAACAGCCTGCCTCCTCTAATGATCTGTAAGCCAAACAGTACAATATCTCCAATCTATTCTCAATGCTAACCCTCTTCTATCACCATGACAAAAGGCACAGGAGGAAGACTGCAGCACCCTACTTGACCAGGATCCTTTGTTTTTGTTTTGTCACATCCTGTAATATCTAAGATTTACAGCATTATCGTCATTCTCAGAAGTTCTCAATAGGGCTTATTTTCACACAGGAAATAGCTGATATTGACATTAGATATAGCAAATTACTTTTAGGGCTAGGAGAAGGAAAGTACAATATGAGCTGGAACATCTTTTTTGCTGCCACTGAGAAATAAAATGTTCAAAGAATAATGGGGACATGTGAACATAATACAGCAACCAGTTTGGCAGGGATGCAAAAGCCAAACCCAGGAAAACGTAAACATCAAAGTAAATAATAATAGTAATGAACAGTAATTGATTGTTCTAAGAATCAATTAGAAAGATTGTTCAATTAGTAATTGATTGTTCTAAGAATCACTAAGAAAGAAAATAATCTGTGATTCCATAAAGAATAAAACAAATAAATAAAATAATGGGTGAGAAGTTGAAACTCTACCTTATGGTAGAAGGTCAACTAATAAATGTAGAAGAAACAATGAAATTAGAAAGTCACTACTTGGCAGTATTTGTAAGAGGTTAAAACTACCAGGTAAAAGTTTGATGACGATAAAATATTTACAGAGTTTCAAAGTCTCTCCCCCACCAATACTTGTTAGTTAATAAGTACAAAGTAATTTGTTAACTTTGCAGTAGAAAAACCTGACAAACACAAACTAAACAAGTGATAAAAGTTAATTTTAAAAAAGAAGTTAACCTCATCTATAGTAGGACACATTTATAATAAGACAAATAAAAATTGTGAGTCACTTAATATGATGCACTGAGAACACAGTATTGCTTACTGTAGAATTCCTGACAAAGACGAGTAGCCTGAATCTAATCAAGAAACATCAGGTAAGCCCAAACTGAGAGACAATCAAAGTAAATGACATAGCATGTGCTCTTCAAAAGCATCAAGGTCATGAAAGACAAAATAAAGACCAAGTACAAATGACTTAGATCCTGAACCAGAAAGAACAGGCAGTAAAGAGAGTCTTTGCTGTTGTTTACTGATTTTGAAATAAAAGACACTGTTAAGACAATGACAAGATTTGAATATAAGGATCAGACAGTATTACATCAGTGTTATTTTTCAGACTTTGATGAATGCAGTGTGGTTAGATGGAAGACTGTCCTTATTTTTAGAAGATATGTGTGGACATATTAAGGGGTAATGAGGCATTGGGTCTGCAACTTACTCTCATAGAGAGTGAGAAAGAGAAAACAAATAATGTATAATATTAATAATTGTGGAATCTGGGTGAAGAATATATAGGAGCTCTTAGTACTATTCTTTCTTACAATTTTTCTGTAAATGCAATTTTATTTTTAAAAAAAGAGTTTAAAAACAATGTAAAATACAAAAACAGGAGACCTATCAACCAATTATAATGTGTGGCTCTTATTTAGATCCTGATTCAAACAGATTGCACAGAAAAAAAAAACTATGAAATTACATTTGAATACTGACTGAATATTTGATAATACTAAAAAACTATTATTAGGTGTAACAGTGATAGTCTAGTTGTGCTTTTTAAAGTCCTTACCTTTAAGAGACACACCCTAAATATTCAGATAAAAACGACATGAGAGGCTTGAGATTAGCTTCAGAATAATATAGGAAGGTGGTGAGGTGGGGTGGACAGGGGTATAGTAAATAAGATTACGCAAGAGTTGATAACTGTTGAAACTGGTTATAGGTACATTGAGATCCATTATCCTATTATCTCAACTTATAAATACAAGTAGCATACGCTTAAAATTTTCCATAATAACAAGTTTTTTGAGAATCAATGTATTTTATTTTGACCTTTCCCCCAAATATTTAAACCTAAAGTTTTCTTCCCTTTTTTTTTTTACCAGATGGGGAATTCACAGTACTGCAAAGGGCATGATTTCATTCTTCTTTATGGCTGCATAGTGTCTATGTACCATGTTTTCTTGATCCAGTCCACTGTTGATGGGCACCTAGGTTGGTTCCATGTTTTTGCTGTTGTGAATAGTGCTGCAATATATATAGAAGTACAGGTGTCTTTCTGGTAAAGTGATGTATGTTCCTTTGAGTATATACTAAGTAATGGATTTGCTGGGTAAGATTTTCAGTTCTTTGACAAATCTCCAAACTGCTTCCCACAAACCAGCTTATGTTCCCAACAGTGTATGAGCATTCCCTTTTCTCCACAACCTTGTCATCATTTGTTGTTTTTTGACTTATTAATAATAGCCATGCTGACAGGTAGGAGATGGTATCTCATAGTGGTTTTGACTTGCATTTCTCTGATAATTAGTGATGTTGAACATTTTTTCATAAGTTTATTGGTCACATATGTTTTTTTTGAGAAGTGTCTGTTCATGGTTTTTACCCACTTTTTAATGGGGTTGTTTGTTTGTTCCTGTCTATTACTTTAAGTTCCTAAGCCTTTGTCAGAAGCACAGTTTGCAAATATTTTCTCCATTCTCCAAATTGTCTGTTTACTCTGTTGGTAGTTTCTTTTACTGAGCAGAAGCTTTTTAGTTTAATTAGGTCCCACTTGTCAATTTTTGTTTTTGCTGCATTTGCTTTTGAGGACTTGATCATAAATTTAATGTCTAGGCCAGTGTCCAGAAGAGTGTTTCCGGACTCTTTAGTACTCCCTGGGCTTTCTTCAAGGATTTTTATAGTTTGAGGTATTACATTAAGTCTTTAATTCATCATGAGTCAATTTTTGTATATGATGAGAGGAAGGGGCTCAGTTTCACTCTTCTGCATGTGATTAGTCAGTTTTCTCAGTACCAGTTGTTGAAAAGGATGTCCTTTCCCCAATGTTTGTTTCTGTCAACTTTGTTGAAGATGAATTCAATGTAGGTTAGTGATTTTATTTCTGAGTTCTCTATTGTTTCATTGGTCTGTATGTCTATTTTGTAACAACACACACAGTCACACTGACACATAGTACCAAAGGAGCTGGTTTTGGGGGCTAGACCTTGGCTTGAGATGTGACAGCAATAGTGAAGGTAGAAGAATTTGTAGCAATACCATGCTGTTTTGGTTACTGTAGACTTATATTAAAGTTCGAAGTCTGGTAGTGTAATGCTTCTGGCTTTGTTCTTTTTGCTTAAGATTGCTTTGGCTATTTAGCTGTTGTTTTGTGTTTTTTTTTTTTTTTTTCTTCCATATGAATTTAAGTATTCTTTTCTAAATTTGCGAAAAATGATGCTGGTAACTTGATAGGGATTGTGTTGAATCTGTAGATTACTTTAGGCCATATGGACATCTTAATGATATTGATTCTTCCACTCCATAAGCACCACATTTTCTCATTTATGTAATCTTTGATTTCTTTCACTAGTGTTTTGCAGTTCTTGTTGTAAAGATCTTTCACTTCTCTGATTAGATGTACTTCGAGGTCTTTTATTTATTTACTTACTTATTTACTTGTCTATTTATTTATTGTAAATGGGACTGTGTTTTTTATTTGGTTCTCAGACTATCTATTATTGGTATATAGAAATGTAACTGATTTTTGAGTGATGATTTAGTGTCTCAATACCTTGCTGAAGTCATTTATCAGTGCTAAGAGGTTTTTTGGTGCATTTTGGGGGTTTTCAAGGTATAGAATAATATCTGTGAAAAGAGATAATTTAACTTCTTCCTCTGTTACAACTTGGATATCTCTTATTTCTTTCTCTTGCCTGAATGCTCTGGCTAGGACTTTCAGTACTATGTTAAATAGGAGTGATGAAAGTGGATATCCTTTTCTTGTTCTGGTTCTTAGGGGAAATGCTTCCAACTTCTGCCCATTTAGTATGATATTGGCTGTGGGTTTGGGTTTTACACAGCTGTAATCAAGCATATACGACATTTTATATTCAGCTTGACCACTGTGGTATAACTCTGCTTCTGACATCTTGTAGCCTTTTTGGGCCACAGGGCTCACTGCCCCACAAAATTTCTTCTTTAGAGGCTCATTCAGGAAGCTTTCCCATTCAGTCGAGATCCATTATTGCACACATACATTTCTAAATCCTGCCTTCCAATTCACCAGTTAGAGAGATACATTATTTTTTAAAAAAATTGCTCATTAACTTCTCCCTCTCCCTCAGTTCTTCCACTTTCACTATTGCTGTCACATCTCAAGCCAAGGTCTAGCCCCCAAAACCAGCTCCTCTGGTACTACATGTCAGTGTGACTGCATTGTCCAGCAGTACAAGTTCTCCCCCTTTCCCCACCATCCAGTCCAGAAGCCACCACACTAAGGAAACAATTGAAGCCTGATATCTTTCCTTCCAGCATGTGGAAGAGGGAGAAGAAAGTGGAGAAGGTTCTTCTGAGCATGTGTTGATTTGTGACAAGGAAGGAAGTGGAAACCATCAGTACTCTCTGGACACGTGTAGGACACTCCATGGGATGTCTCACCTAGCAGCATGGTCAGCAAGGACTGTCGTGGCACAGTGCAAAAAGCTGGATGGATTCTGCTCTTTCCCAGCTGAGTGCCCAAGGACAATTGCAGTTCAGTGAATGAATGAATGAGGTGTAGAATAGGAGAGTGCTCCCAAATCCTAGTCATACTTCCTCAGACTTCCCAGAGCCATGCTTTACTGTCTAGCCCAATCAGAGCCCTGGTATGCACCCCAACCACTGAACTCAGGATTGCAAGGTTTTCCTGCTTCATGCCTCTTCTCTGCAAGATTGTCCTACATAGCACAGTAATTAATAACTCTCCTCTTCCCATCCTACCCAGGACTTATTATCTCCCTCTTTATCCCAAAACACTAAGAACAAGCATTTCTGATTTTCCCTAAATCAATATAGTAGCTAAACAAGATTTTCCCTAAATCATTATAGTAACTAAATAAGGCAACGGTTCTAGAGTTCCTAGGAAGAGTATGAGTAAGTGTTGGTATGTGTGTGTGTGTGCATGTGTGTGTGTGTGTTTAATGTCTGTTTTTGTGGGAATATTTTTGAAAGGAGGTGGAAGCATAAATGCATTTGATCTTCCCTCTTCCCTCAGGATTGTCAAAAAATTACCAGTCTTTCTTTTACTTAAACTACTCATGAGAAAGAAAAAAAGAAAGGCATAAAAGAGACAGGCCACCTGACTAAATATGGACATATTAATTAGAATTTTCACAAACTGGTAGTCTCATACTCTAAAGTATGGCATCAATGAACTGTTTTCTATTCTCAAGACTATAAATGCTTCCAAATTAAAGAAGTAAGGTTAAACATAAACTTTTTTGCCAACTGGGCTCTGTGCTACTCATTTGCCATTCCCCTCCCCATCTATTCTCTGTTGTCCTGGACTAGAGAGGGTAGGGGTCCCTTTAAGGCTTCTCTTAGAAGGGGCTGCTATACTCCTGTCTCCAGGGTGGGAGGCATTATCCAGCAACTAGAGGATAGAGGGAGAAAAACTTAGGGAGAGCTGGTGCCCCACGGGCATCTGTCTCAGTGCTGTGACTCTGGCTGGGCTGACATCCCTTGCAACTGGCTTCTGCCACGCAGCCCTCTCACAACTGCAGCTCCTGCCTGGCTTCAGAAACACGTGCTTCCTACCCTCACCCCTTCAGGACTGATGACACTACCCTAAGTTGCTAGTCCCTGCATACTTCAATAGTCCCTGTACACCTCAATATTACCCTGACCACCCTTCTTTTAATACTCACTTTGTTAAACTATGTTCAGAGTCTCATCTAAGTGTGCCTTCTGTTTCCTGCTGGGACTTGACTAACCCAAGCTCCCCTCTCCCAATCTCAGACCACAGCCTCTGTGGCTCACTGTTATTTATCATCAAGGAAGCTTATCTGCACAGTTCACAGGCAAGATCTGCTTCAAAGTTTTGTCAGATTTATTCAACACTGTACTACAACATACTAGTTTGAAAGAATGTCAACTCTTTCCTTTGTAACCAGCAGGATACCAATATTCTGTGTATAACAAATACTAACAGGTTCTTACTTGTCTTAAGTGAAATTCATTCTTCCTCTCCAGGACATTGGTCAATCATCAGTAATACAAAGAACCTGCCACCTGGAAATGTATCACCCTGCAATCACTGATGTAGGTATTAAAGACCTCTCAATTCTTCCAGCCACAGAATAGTCCAGGAACAGCCAAACCGATTATATTAATGCTTTGCACAGGACAATCACAGGGTAATCTAAGTACTCCTACGATGAGGGGAAGAGAAAGAGGAAGAATCCTAGGTAAAAATAAATAAATAAATATCCCCTGCTTTCTCTCCCTTGTGTTCATCAGTAGAAGACTTGTTATTGGCTTCTTAAAAAAAATGAACAAGAAGTACAAAGGAAATTCCTTGGTCTGTTGCTTATTTGCCTCAGTATAAAATGGAAAAGTAAATAAAATAACACTCTATGAATGCTTGTTGTTTGATGTAAGGCTAATAACTGGCTTTCAGCTACTTTAAACAAAGTTGCAATCATTCATTATGCAACAAATTCTCTAAGTGACTTAAAATGTTTGGCTCACAAAGAGGAGTGCAGAACAGATGTAATATTAAAGTTCCTAATTAAGAATGATAATTCCATGATAAGACTCCCTCAACAGTGCCAACAATTAAATTACTAACATCATTTCCAGATATGAATTCAAATTTTGCCAAAAAATTAAATAACGTAGGCTCAGCAAGTCCTCCATTAAAATGTTTGTGTTCACCAGAAAAAAAAAGAAAATATGTAATACACTATCTGGTGCTTCTGATTGCAAACAACAAAAGGCCCAAGAAATGTCTTAAATAATCTTACTATATATTAACTCTTTGAATGAAAAATTGGGAGCTAAATTACTCTCGGGTTGGTTCAGAAACTCAGTGTGAGGGCAAACACAAGTTAGCATATTTGGAATTCTCATGAATAGAAAATGGTCACAGGAGTTTCAAAGCAGGAAGAAAGAGAAGGGTGGGAAAAAATGTTGTTTTGTTTATTTTTTTACTGTAAGCCATTTTCTAGCTAGAAATAAAAATCTTTCTTGGAAACCCCTTTCCCTTACATCCAATGGCCAGAACTACTTGCACACTGACTCTTAAAGCACACACTGACTAAAAAGAATGGGATGCCATCACTGGTTTATAGGAATCATTATTCATTCCTGTATGATTGGGCCCAAATCATGTTAGCAAGAAAGACGGGAAGGAGCTGTTGTACAGGTAAGCACCAAATGTAGCACCAAGTGAGCACTCAAAGAAAGTCAGGCATTAGTAGTGTAAGCCAAATATTTACTTCAAATTAAGAGGAGAGAAGCACAAAAGGGGGGTGTGGGAGGGCTCTCTAAAGGGTCCAAGAAGGAAATGTGAATGAACAAGGTGGGCTAGTTGGGAACCATGCATCACTGAAGAGTGTGTGGCCTCTCTGAGGTCTCCAATTCTTAACCCATTTTACTAAGTTCATATCACTTCAAATTTCAGCAAATCATTGCAGAATTTGGGAATAAACAGATATTTTTTTCTCTAATCTTCACAGAAATACAGACAGACTAGCTTCATCTCACACCACAGAAATGATGACACCCTAATCTCTTACTATGTGCCAGATGCTGTTTAAAGTGCCTTACATATCTTATTTCACTTTTTAAAATGAAACACTGCACATTAGGTACCACCCATTGTCCATAAGCTTTAGAGAGAAAAGTAATTTCTCCACGAACTCGTAACTGTCAGGTGGTGAGGCAGGAGAGCAGTCCGAACACAAGACTCAGAATGACTAGCAGGAGCTAGAGTTCACAGAAGCTAAATTCAACTAGCTAAACAATGGGTGATCTTTCCCAGACATTCTGTAGTCACTTGGGAATGAGAGCTTCCGGTTCACAAGTAAGGTCTGGTGGCCAGCTATATCCTAAAAAAGGCAACTACATTCACCTGACTTTTCTCAGCCACATCCACTTTTCTGTATTTCCAACATAGAAAATGCAAAAGAAAGCAACACCAGGACCTAGGGCTTAACCATCTCTGCAGCAGGTGGAAATTAATTAGAGCACAATTACAGGATGCTTCAAATTTTTCAGATCTTAAAAAAGTCTCCCAAAATCTACAATGAATGCTGTTCCATGATATGGAACCTTGAATTTGCAAGGATGAGGAGAAAAAGAGTATGGGTGCACCAATGTAAGCAAATCAGTTACCCACCTCTGTGTAAAAGAGAAGCTATAACAGCAGAAAACTACTATAAAACTCCTGTCATTGAACTTTTTAAATATACAAAATGGTATTATAAAAAACAGCATCTGTACTCTTTCTTTTCTTATGGTTCCATTTCACTCACATACAGAAATGACTTGCAATCATTATTAACCTACTAATACAACTTTTTCTGGTATAGCTTAATGTTTCTCTCCTCTAAACCATAAGCTCCTGCAGTATTTATCTGTGGATCCTCAGCACTTGGCACACAGGCATACCAAGAAGCTCAGCAAAGATTTTTAAGTGGAGTGAACGTGATAAAAGTTCCATTGTCCCATAATTTGCCACTGTGATACATTCCACTCATATAAGACATTCTGAGATATAAAGCACATTGATTTGAGTGAATTAATCAAATTATGTTCTATTGTTCTATCCGGCCTTAACATGTGAGTTTTATAATAAACAAAAGGCAAAATGTTTATTAACGTCTATTTTCCATACAGATACAAAATAATATTTTACACGAAATTATATTGATAAAACAAAACTACACAGGTTGGTTTTAATTGACTACTTTTCCTTACATATTCCACTGTTGTACTTACTCAATATTCTGTTTAACATCTTAGTAAGCACTGAAGAAAAAAATAAAACTTTTTCTCCAAGCAGTCCTATACTGGATCATTAGATCCATGTCTTACCAGCATTCATATCTTTAAATTTCTGCTTTAGCTCAGTAGGAGTAAGACGATACTGATCAAGACTGTCATGCCAATAAATTCGGTCCAGGACTTGAAGATCTCCTCCAATCAGCCAATCTCCTTGTTCCATAACCATCTAACAGGAAGAAAAAGAAAAATGTTTAACAGAAACTAAGATCAAAATAAGTAAAAATATTTATTTCATACAAGCTAAATGCAGTTATTTATTGTAAACTACTCTCATCTTAAACTCTATTGAACTTATCAACCAAATTGGAATTAGAGATGCTATAGAACTAGAATAAAATCTGTAATTTCTCAAAAAAAACTTGTGAATCTACTATTACCTTTACATATGAAAGGAATCAAAACCACTGTGAATAATTATGACTTTTTGAGTAACAAAAATATTCTTTTTATTGATGCAGTATGTTGATTAACGAACAGTGTGTAATCCTGGGTCACCACCCTCTGTGTCCTCCAATCCCAACCTTTTGAAGAATTAATGATACTGAGTTAGACACAAAGTCATGCCTTCCCATCTCCACACCACCTGGAATTTCTTACACCTCCACTATCTTCTTTCTTTACATCTGAAAGGAAGATACATTACCCTCTAGGACCTGTCCATTTCCACAGTGCAGTTCAGGCTCTCCCTTTCCCCAAGCTGCTTTGGCTTAGATGCCAACAATTCATGTCTCTTTTAAAGCTCCAAGTTTACCTTAATACACCTAACAACTGACTAAATTTGACTTTGATGATAATACATTCAATAAATGAGCCACTCTAAAGAGGTGAATTATATTTCACTGCCTTCACACCAGAAACACACTGTTAAATTAAAAAACGAGACCAAACCAAACCACCCTGGTGTAGGCTCCCTTAGCACCCAGACCTCACACTGTTCTTCCATGTACCCGAGTAAGCACACCACCAGACTGTCAACTCCAAGAGCAAAAACACTGTGTTGATTCCATCCCCAGCCCTGCATTCCCAGTACCAAGATCAGTGCCTGGTATAGAGTAGATACTTAAAATATATTTGTGGAACACATATTTATCTGGATCGAAATGACAAGACCATACACTCATCACAGTCATCTAAGTTCCAGTTTCCATTCTGCAAAATATTAACAATTCCAATGAAAAAAGTCAACACAGAGATAATGCCCATATTTCAGCACAAACATTACTGGCAAATCATGATAAAATGCAGGGAGGTTTATTCAGGACCTTTATGTAAGGGTGGTTCTTGCATGTTGTTCCCCACTGTCTGGCACAGCGCTCCTCTTTCCTGTGCTCAAAAAATTCTGGATTGCGAAGAATAGCCACACGGCGGCCCTCATATATCAGGGCAAATGCAGTACAGCCATCCAGTCTCTCTTTGTCTTCACGAGTAGCTGTCAGAACTATAGGCACTGACAAGTTAATGACGCCTCCTGAAGAGCACAGAAGAATAGAAAGCACACAGCTCAGATTCCTCAATAGGCTTGCTTATGTCCACCCTTCACTTCACAGGACACTCCTCAAATAATAAGTGGCTTATAGGTTCAGTGACAGTGCTTAATTGGTATCTGGCATAGAAAACCAGGAGAGAGAGCAAGCTACAAGGTAAGGCAGAACAACGTCACAAGTTTAGAAAACAGCAAAAATTAAGAAAATCAACATTGTGACTAGTAATCCTTTTCACAACAATTCATCAAACTATCTTTGATGGGAAATTCTGGTACAGAATTTACCAAAAGAATTGTAGCAAATTACAGAAAAGAAACTTTAGGGAGAAACAGCTGGTTAAGTCTAACATTAACCAAAAAATACCATGCACTTCAATATGTGAATAAGACAAAGAACTATGTTTCTGAATCTTTTCATGAAAAACCAAAATCCTTGTTGATAACAGGATGACATAAATAACCACATGCTAAGTGGCAAGTTGATTAGATATACTTGAGTATATTTGATAGACTTGGGTATCTTTGAGGTAGAAAGGCAAAAACACCCCAAAAGTTTATTAGTTTGATATAGTCAGAATCAAATTGACGTCAGCTATCACGGCCAAGAAACAAAGCCAGTAATCAATGGCTACACTTAAACCAAAATGTATTGTCAGTGATACCAATGCACAGTATTAGTTCCCAAACTTTTCTAGGTGTAAGCTTTTTTTCTACTCATTGTGTATAGGTTAGAAAAAAAAGATGTATTCTCTTATTCACATTAGGATTTATTTACATCTAAAGAAACCATCCTTTTTGGGGGAATCATGGCATGCCTTCTTTGGACAAAAGATGTCAACAAGAACGATGATAACTCCTTGGCTACTTTTAAAATTACCATCACTAGATGAGTTTAAAATAAAAAACTAATAGGTAGATCTGCACCAAGCCCAAGAATATATCAATAAGACTAAGGAGGCAATCAACAAAGACTTTACTATTAGTTCCAAAGAAGAAAATCAAAATGTAATATTTAATCCTCATGTTCTTGTGATAGTTTCTTGACAAGAATAATTAAGAATTACATTTTCAAATACCTATTTCACTACCCATAATACAGAAAAACTTAGTACCAATTGAGAAGAGTTCTATGACATTTTAAAATATTTTCTTTAATATAGTAAATTAATCTTCCCAATGGTATACAACACAAAGCAAAAAGTAACTGGATTGTAGTAATATACTGAACATTAATTTCTTTGGCAAGTTTTTAATATTTTAAAAGAATAGGAAGAAACATGTTTTTAGCCACCTCTTTTAGGATTCCTTAACTCGGACTTCATGATTCCTTATGAATGAGCTTCAGTCAGCAAAATGCAGTATGTACATGTACTCCATGGGAAGAAGCTTTCCATAGTGATCAGGTGGGCATAGCACATGAAAACTCTATTGTGTTTTTACAATCAATTTTCTGCCCTAATTCCCAGGTTTTCCCTCTCCCGCTGCAATAAATCACAATCAGGAAAAAGAAAAATGGAAATAAAATATCATGGTTCACTTAAATAAAGTGTTCAGTATTGATACAACTTAGACTTATAATGTTATCTCTATTAAGATCTAACCATACTTTTCATAACGTGACAAATCTCTGCAACTACATAATTTCTCTTCAATATATAATGTGATTTTGGATGTAAAATGTCTTACCATCCAGAAGACAATCAAAATGAAGGCACTGCAAATACTCCCTCTCTCTCATAAAGCCGTTCAACGGGGTTGCCCAACCTTCTGCCAAAACTTGTACCCACTGCATATCCACCTAGTAAATTAGAAAATAAAGTAAAATGTTCTATCTCATTTATTTATGAACAAAAGTAGTAAGTGCCTTTAGGAATTTAATTCTGAAAGCAATGAAAATAAACATTTTAAGAATGATTAAACAAAACTAACAAAGAATAAGGGCACTAAGAAAATATTTATGTCTCCTAATAAATTTAAATAACATTAAGCCTCCAGTTATTTCCAAAGGACAGCCTCTCCTAAACCAGTGGTTCTCGAAGTTTAACTCAGACTCCTGCAAGGTTGGTTAAAATGAAGATTGCTTTACTCTCAGAGTTTCTGATTCAGTCAGTTTGCTGCAGGTCCCCACATTTTGAATTTCTAATTTATTTCCCAAAAATGCCAGCAGTGATGGCCTAGAAACTATACTTTGATAACCACTGTCCTAAACAAAAAAAGAAAATAAAATTATCTTCCAAGGAAAGTCCCTCATCCAAGACGGAGTACTCTTCATTCTCATCTTACAAATTTTGCAAATGTCCTATCAGAACAATAAAGAATTGATGAACTATGCATATATCATTAATTTTTTAATTATTTTTTAACTGTGCAAATGGCACTGGTTCTCAAATGAGAAAGGTGAAGCACTTGGCCAAGTGGCGTGCAGTAAAATGTAGCCTACTATTTATTCCCAAAGTATGTTTTCCATTGCAAAACTGAATAATTTTAAGGTATGCACAAGAAATTTTTTTTCATTTCAAGTTTTCCTCATTAATTTTTCTAAAGCCCTTGAGGGTGGCTCCTATTTATCTCTAATGGAAACCAATCCTGGATGGCATCTGTTAGAGACTGAATGACTACATCCCCACAAAATTTCTATTTGAAGCCCTAACTCCCAACATGACTATATTTGGAAATAGGGCCGGTGAGGAGGTGGAAAGAATGGTAGTGTGCCTTCCAGGTGGTCTGCCAATTAAACCATTTTGAGAACCACTGTATGGAAGAAAAGTTCACTTTTAGAAAAAGCTATTGTCTTCCTGGGTTCTAGAATCTGACTCATGTGGATTCACAGTCATTCATTCCCATTCTTTTTCTCTTTGTCTTTCTCTGTGGGGATTTATTCCATGCCAATTGTCAGTGATCAATTCTATTGTTCTTTCCAACAGTTTTCTTCCTGAGTAGCTCTGCTCTACAATTTTCCCTCCTTGACTCTCCCTGGCATGTGTTGGCTTCCGGTTACAGACTCAATCACACACAAAAAGCACATCAAGATAATCTACTCCTATCAGGGATTTCAACAGCTACTTGAAGAGTCTTTTTCCAAGTCTGTAAAAGTTTTGTTTTGTTTTCTTTCAGATTTGGCACTTCCCTGGATGTTTTGGGTTTTTACTATATTAAAAGAAAGGATGGAAAACCCAACCTCTAATCCAAATTGTTAATCTCCCTGTTTTTAAAGTATACATAAATGACACAACTTAAAATTCTCTAAGATTTGAAAATGATAAATTACAGTTTCTATTCTCATCATGTTGAGCTCAAGCAGTCGTTTATTGGGAAAGACAACTAATGACATCATTAGAGCTAAAATATGCAACAGGATTATTCTTAACAATATAAAAAAGGGAGAGTCAAGTGTTTGGCAGTGGATTAGGAAACATGTTGAGAGGGAAAAATATTCATTTTAGTTAGCATGGATTAGTATTCTTAACCTTTTAGAACCCATTCCTTTTGATAAACTTGAAAAATCTGACACTATCTTTGTTCTTTGATATTTCAAAAGAAATAAGTATTATGATTAAAAGCAAATTAAAGCCATGGTAATTTTGGAATATGATTATACAAAGACATTCCCCATCCCTGGAAATTATTGCATACACAACACCCTCACTCCCACTAAAACCATATGTGGCCTCAAATGCTGCTATAAATCACAAATTTAACTAACTACTGTATAGAGAACTGTATCATTTGGCATAAAAGCTACAAAAAACATACTTTGTTGATTTTCAATGCTGGTAATGTTTCTGCATCTGTTTTTGCCAAATGAAGTTTATTTTCTGGCACATACAATTCTTTTACTTCATAAGAGGCATCCACAGGTACAATATCCTATATAATAACAAGAGTACAATTAAATGTTTGCATCAACCATTTTAGAGTTTGTCAAAGGGCATCTTAATAAAGAAAATCAACATTTCAAAATGATACCAAAAAATAGCATAAAAGAGGGCTTTGAGTGCTGTCCCCCCCACATCAGTACTGTCAAGCAGACAACATATGACATCTACGTAGTAATTAGGCATAATGTCCCATTATCTAGTGGAAAAGAATAAATTCCTAAAATATATAAGTCAAAATCAAGCAACTGCAAATAAGAATTAGTCTCAAATAAGAGGTAACAGCAATAAAAAGAATTTGGAAACAAGCAAATAAAAATAACTTGAAACATCATCATTATTATCTTTAACATATTATGAAACCATTTCATTCCAGCTTTCATATGCAACTTTATCATATGCCAATAAAGCCACCTTTTATTCATACAACACAGTATTCCAGAATATGTCAGCTTTACTCTCATCACTATAATTTGAAAATCAGTACTTTCTCTTCTCACATGAAATGCAGCCTAAAACTTTTATCTAGGCTCCAAGTACTCATTTATGTAACATTAGGACAGTGTTTTTCTCTATTTATTCTACAAGTATACATTTGTAATTACCATAACATAGCCATTTACACACTGCCTATTAGGAGATCTTTACAGGGTTTGTTCACTACACTTGTCATATCCCTAAGAATAATTACTAAATGTGTTCAATCACTTTAACTCTTTTTTTTAAAGCCAAATCTGTCAGGTAACCTCTATTAACACAAAACAGGCACTTGTTGGGGGCTTTTCAAACATGTGTCCAAGTAATACTTTGTCATTCAAAATAAAGTAATTCTCAAAAGAATGAGAAGATAAGCCATAGACTAGGAGAAAGTATTTGCAAAAGGCATATCTTTAGATAAAGGACTGTTACCCAAAATATAAAAAGAACTCTTAAAACTTATCAATAAGAAAATAAACAACCCAGTTAAAAACTGGGAGAAAAAAATCTGAATAGACACCTCACCAAAGAAAATGTACAGACTGCAAATAAGCATATGAAAAGATGTTTAACAGCATGTCATTAAGGAATTGCAAATTCAAAAACTGATACTGTAACACATCTATTATTAGAATAGCCACAATCTACAACACCAACAACACTGAATGTTGCCAAGGATGTAGAGCAACAGGAACATTCATTCATAGCTAGTGGGGATACAAAATGGTATAGCTGTGGGCAGAGTGGCTCAAGCCTGTAATCCGAGCACTTTGGGAGGCCAAGGCGAGAAGACTGCTTGAGTCCGGGGTTCGAGATCAGCCTGGGCAACTTCGCGAGACCTTGTCTCTACAGTAAATAAAAAATTAGCTGGGTGTGGTCGTGTGTGCCTGTAGTTCCAGCTACATGGAAGGCTAAGGCAGAAGGATTGCCTGAGTCCAGCAGGTCAAGGCTGCAGTGGCCGTGAGCATGACACGGCACTCTAGCCTGGGAGACAGAGTGAGACTCCAACTCAAAAAAAAAAAAAAAAAAAAAATAGCCACTTTGGAAAACAGTTCAGTAACTTGTTACAAAACTACATACGCACTTACCAGCAATTTCACTTCTTAATATTTATGCAAATGAGTTGAAAACTTACATCCACACAAAAATCTGCTCACGATGTTTACAGCATCTTTATTCATAATTGCAAAAACTTGAAAGCAGCAAGAAGCCCTTACTAGGTGGATGGATAAACAAACTGTGGATCATCCAGTCAATGCACTATTACTCAGCACTAACAACAAATGAACTAGCAAGCAATGAAAAGGCATGGAGGAAACTTAAATGCAAATTGCTAAATGGAAGAAGTCAATCTAAAAAGTTTACTGTGTATATGATTCTAACTATATAATATAAATTCTTCTGTGAATCTGAAAGTTCTCTAAAAAAGTTAAGTGCATTAAACAATGCAAAATAATGAAAAAAGTCATTCAAGATAAAATATTAATGAAAGAATCAGATTTTAAAGGACATTTCTTACTATTTTTCCTAAAGAATAATTTTAGAAAGAAACTTCAACATATATTTGGTCTTATGTGATATCTTCAGTGGAAGAAAAAAGGAAGATCACATATGTGTATCAAAGTTAGACAAGCTCATGAAGGGCCCAGGTACCACTGCTCCAGTACCCCTGTGGGTTTAAAAAGAATTTTTCTCCTGCTTTTCTCAGACACTATTGCCTCAAAGATGGAAGAAGAGACATAGTTCAGCAATGGCTAAATCATGTGCCAAACTCAGTTTCCTCCTACTGGTAAACTCTGAAATGTCTCATAATAAATTAACAAATAAATAAGAAGAGCAAACACACATACACATTATTTTTAATCAAAAGCCAGAAAAGATTAAACAATAAACCAGCTATGCAGCTCGGCCCCTGGAGTGCAAATATGAATGGCAACTTTCTGAAGGTCCCTTTGTCCCTCAAGGATGCCACCACTCAGAGGAAGAAAGCAGAAAAGTGTGTGTGAGAGGCACAAACCCTGCTCAGCAAAGGACACATCATATACCTTCTGATTCGCAATTAGGCTTCCAGCAGGCACTCATAGCTGAAAGCTATTTATTGTGTTTACTGAGGGTAAATACTATATAAGGGTATTGAAAACAAATGGTAAAAGAAAGCTCCACCCGCTGCCTGCACTTTCTCTATGTAAATATAAATCCATATTTTAACCATGTACTAATTATTTCCAATGAATCCACACCAAAGAGATCATGTCTTAAATTTTGCCAAGGAGCTCAAAACAGTGATAAGAAAATATACACAATTTATAAATAACACCTGTTTTAACTGTGCACCCGAAGAGGAAACCACATATAGAAAAAAAGGATTCTTCTTTAAATCTATCAAGAGACGTAGCTTGTCTTCCAACTCCGGAATTGTTTCTTTTAGTACATTCTTTTAAATTACAAAATAACAATAAAGAAAATTTGAAATAAAAAAACAAATCACCCTATATCCTTATATGGTTATCACCGTCATTTTTCTATATTCCCTTCCAACTGTTCTCCGTGCATAGTCACATTACAGGACAAATGGTCACTTCAACAGTCTGTGCAAAGTCTATTACTTCATCAATCAGAAAATAAAAATTTGAGTCAACTTATCCTCCAAGGACAATTTGACATGCATTAAGTGAACTGCACATACATCCTGTATGTTCGGTTAGCTTCTTGGATATGTAAAGCCCCCAAAGATGCCTTAAGGCATACAAATTCTCTGCAGCTGCAAAATAAAGAATTGAAATCTTCTTATACTAGGAAAGAAAAAAAAGAACACTAAAAGTAACTGAAGTTACACAAAAAGTCAAGTGTTCATTAGGACTCTTGTGAGAAAGAGTTTGCTACAGTTTCACAAAAGAGACTTAAAATTAAATATTTACATTAATTAAAAACTTTAGAGACATAACATCTTCAAAACCAAAAACAGAAAAGCAACAAGGTATGTCTGTAGGTCAGTTATTTCTGATGTTCTCATCATCATCAACAATGTATAGAAAAGAGGATACACAGGCTTTTTGTATGTAATATCTGAGTTCAAATTCTAACAGTGCAACCCTGAAGACCTCACAATCTTGTCTCCTCCTCAGTTGTTTAAAAACAAAAAGATACACACATATAAGTTACAGGGCTATTGTGACAATTAAGTGACTTAAAGTACCTAAACTTGTAGGCTAGAATTAAATAGATGCTGACTACAACACCACACATTGTTCTAAGGGCTTCAGATAAATTAACTCATCTTCACACAATCCTACCTATGAAGGTAGAAGAAACTATTGCTATTCCTGCTTCACATAATAAGGCCCAGGAGAGGTCAATGACTGGCCCCAACTGCCTGAAGTCCTGTCTTCCAATGTACTTAACACACTATAAATAATAATAATTATTATAGTATGCTTGTTGTAAACTCTTCTAAGTACTCTACATATATTAACTCATAAAATCCTCAGTACAACTCTGAGGAAGGTACTATCATTAGGTCCCATTTCACAGATGAGAGAATTGAAGCCAGAGAAATTGGGTTATTTCTTCCAAGGTCACAGAGTTAGCTGATAATTGTTGGAACTATGATTCCAACTGAGGTCCCAATAGTTAGAAAATATTTTGTGATACAAATTATTCTTAGTTTCTTTCCATGATTTTATTAAAAATTTATAATTCCCCAATTTCTGATCAGTATATGCTCTTTTAAAGTATCGATGAAGTTCTAAACAAAAAGTAAAAATATTCAACATTTCAGTTAGTCCTAAACAGTTTTATTAAGGATAAGTAAACAATTTTCAAACAACTTTTTTCAAACCCTCCTACTGTGAATAAATCATGAACCATCATTTCCACCAGTTTGGACACCTTAGCACTCTGAATATGCAGTGTAGGAAAAATGACATGGAGACTCCAGAAAAGAGTAGATTCTCACTCTCAGCTTCAGTGACGACAACTCCACATAAAGCTTTCTTTGCCATCTCTGAAACCTACATTATTGTAAGGATGAGATACCTTTCTGTATGTTTGGTGGGTGTTGGCTACTCTCCCCCAAATTTACTGTTGATAATTGTCAACAATATTGGAGGGTCAGAAGAAAACATCCAGCAGATTAATCTGATCTTGGTTGGATATGACAAGGCAGTTTTAGCTGGTTTCCTAAACCATCATCACCAGATTCAACTCATACATACTGATGACTAGGAGCAATGTGCACGGCCCACTGTAGTGGTCCAGGCTCATGGCCAAGCCTGGGATCCTCCCTCCCCCTGGCACTGTCTCTCTCCAGACCCACCACAACACTGAGGGTGCACTCAGATGTGTGACTCTGCTGCCTCTGAAGAGATAGTCCAAACAAGAAATGGACACCAACAAAATTTTCTATGCACGATGTCTACAATTTCCTTCCAGTCATACTCCCCAAGTTAAAAAACAAATGTTCAAATAATTTGTGAACAAATCTGTCCACAAGGTAACTAATTTGAATATGAAAAGGGTAATACCCTACTATAAGCCCAACCAAATTATTTAAAAGAAATATTTTGTGCACTAATAACCAAATTATTCATAATTTGGCATGAATGAGTTTTTAGCAATATCCTATTTTATACTTACTAACATAGAGTCTATAACCACTTTCTTTTCAAGAAGAAAAATCTTTTTTATATTTTTGGAGTCAAAATAATTTTTTATTACAAGCACTGCACAAAATCCTTCCCTTTTCAAAATTCACATTCAGCAGTATTTTAAAATTAATTTTAGCCGCACAACTTAGATACAAAATTCTTCTGATGCCTAACCAATGCCAAAATAAAAGTTCAAAAGGTTGCTACTGTTTTTCTCTTCTAAAAAGATACATAAAGTGAATATTCCTGGAATTAATGTGAATGTAATAGCATGAATCAAGAGGAATACAGAGCATCTGCTCAGTCATCGGAAATGAGTTCTATGAAGATTCTATGTGTAAAGACAAAAGGCCTGAGTCTCAATCAGAAATATAAAAAGAATCTTTAAAATGCAGACACAACCGGTTTCTAGCACATTCTAGTGACAAAACTTCTGTTTCCAAACCCACTACTAAACATCTAAAAGGAGCAAAAGCACCTCAAAGTGACAAAGATATGTGGACAAAAGAATGTGAAGTCCCCGCCAACAAGCTATCTGTTTTATTTGGGATTGATTAGGATTTCCATAGACACAGTTAGCTATTAGAAAGAGTATCCTTCTTCAACTTGTACATATAAAACTCTTTATTTCAGGAAATTTCCTATAAAACAAAAGTAGGCCAGGAAAAAGTCTTTACATACCTAGACACCGTACCTCCAAGAACTCCTTAGTCACCCAGTACTGAAGGGCAGGGCACAGGGGTGCTCCCCTCTGGAGCAGGGGATCAGTAAACAATTCACACACTATTATTAAAGAGGGATGAACTCTACAACCTATACATCTAGAAATACTTAAATATTATAATTTTTAAGCATTAAATTTTTAAATGTAGCATGAGGTATTGAAAAGATTTTTGTTTGACTAACCAAACAGTCTAAGCTCTAGTATATGCTATATCTATATCCTTGTTCAGACAATTATGTTCCTACCTAGAAACTGGCAGGCAGGGAAAATAACATTAAAATAGTAGCTTTTGCCTTGCTTTCCCATTTTAATCTTCCTAAAGAACTCTGAACATGTTAATAAACATAGTGATTCCACATTTAAATTTTTTCCTCTAAGTATTTTCTGTACTTTTTTTCTTGAACCAAATGTGCTCAACAGATTTGAACATGAGGGCTCATTCATATTTTATGTAACTATTAAATTTCTATTATCTAAACTACATGCATCCAAAGCATGAACACCAAACGACATTCTGGCAACACTTTAAAACTGAGCTGCAAAGTCTGGCTTTTATGTGTAGTATAAAATCCATTTAGAGCACTAAACCACCATTTTGTAAAAAGACAAACCTTTAAATAATTTATAGCACTAGTAAACCTAGAGTTCCTGGTAGATTTAAAAACAATATTTAAAATATCACTTTAGATTAAAACCAGCAGGAAGAAGACTACTTCCTTATGTCATAACAAGTGAAGTTAAAATGCGTTACTAGCAGGCCATCTAGTGACCATTCAAGGGTTAGAAAAAATAAGTCAAAATCCTCATTTTTTGCTAACATCTTCTATTTTCTTGAATAAATTCATTGCCAATGAAGTACATTAAGACAATGAAGGTACTCTGACCACATGCTGAGAAGTGCAGTCTTTATAAGAATGGTCACATTACCTATTCCAATTATACTGAAAGAGAAATTAAGACAATCCAGAGATGACAAAGAATTCCTGACATTATGCTTAAAGCATTCATGGTAACCAAAGTGTCCGTCATTCTAAAATGTCCAATGTACAGCATACTAAAAGTATATCTTTTGGGACAGTAAAATAAATAGTACAGCTTACTAAAGACCATTAAAGAAATAATTCCAGCTGGGTGTGGGGCTTACACCAGTAATCCCAGCACTTTGGGAGGCCAAGGAGAGAAGACTGCTTGCGTGCAGGAGTTCAAGACCAGCCTGGACAGCATAGCAAGACGTTCTCTACAAAATCAATTGTATCTGCGTTCAAATCTCACCTTCCCCAACTGAATTACCTTGGGACAAACAATTTTACCTCCTGAATCTGTTTCCTTATCAGTAAAATGAGGATAATTATAACTATTTATCAGAGTCTTCACACAAATTAAATACAATAATGCCCCTGCAGCACTGAACACATAGTAAGAGTTCAACTGATGAGAGTTATTATTAATGGTCTCCACCTCTGTCCATGACATTCTCTTTTAGCACACATTTATATTCTTTTACATGATGCTAACTTATGTAGGATGCTTAATCTTCATATCCCCACTCAAAACTCATAACATAAAGCTACACAGATTTGGTTATTATTCTTTGCTTTAAAGCAACACTGTGCTTAACATATCTCCTTTACCTCTTAACTTATATTTATCCTCTACTATGTGCTTTCCCATAAGCCACACTTGGAAAACCTAATAAATGTCTACATGATAACAATGAAGCTGTACTGCATTTGCTATTGTTCCTCAAAAGGAGTTTGACATGGAAAGTGCACATTATACCAAGCCACCCTGCAAGGAAAACACAGTGGGCAAACACACCCCTAGCAACACTGACTAACTATGAACTTTGAGCTGAGTGCTAGATCTTCACTGGTTTCTCCATATGCCCTAATGCTCATTAAGATTCAACTTTGCGAGAAACCAAAGGAGAATAAACCAAAGGAGAATAAATGGCAGATATAATTGTGTATTTCTTCCTTCAACTGATTGTAAAATCCTGCATATTATAAAAGAAGAAAAATAAATGAATTTACATGTAAGGAGTAAGAATAGACAATGCATTGAAAATGAAACACAGAAGTTCTACAAGAGAGAATCACCTAGCAAGTGAAAAGGCCAGCTACTCTACAATCGTAAATTTTCTTGAGCCCATCACAGAGCAGAGGTCCTAAAGCAGTGAAATGAACTGCTTCCAAAGAGTGACATGTCCCACCAAAAGAAGATGAAGCTCATGAACTGTTTACTTTAAGCAGACCATGGGAGGAGGAAATGGCTGCAATAAAGGTAGGTAGGAGAAAAACAGCTGTAATGTTCTTCAGGCTGAGTGTGAATCCCTCTTTAAAATCAAATCATAAGGATATCATGTTGTCATGAGGAAAATATGGACATTCTCTAAATGGCCAAGAAAAGTTTACTTTCTGTACTTCAACTTGAAAAATATAATAATATCAACTTATAGGACTGAATAATCATGGCTGGATTCTCTATTAGGTATTTATGTGGCAAAATTACTGGTAAAGTACATGAACAGTGCTCTCTGCAACACCTAACACAGTGACATACATACATGGAACACTGTTGGCACTATAAATAATTCAAAATACAACTGTTACTCACTATTAACACCATCATTTTTTGGGAGGGGTAAGGTTATGAGATAAACATAATTCTTCTCTGACGGTTCCTTCTTTCATCTTTTCTTACCCGTTCCTGCAGAAGTTCTACAACTTGCTGGACACAGTCATTTACATCACAGGAGTCTGTTTTCAGCACCAATTCAGGAGCTTCTGGCTTTTCATATTCAGAATCAATCCCAGTGAAACCTGTAAAAGGTACCAGATAACAGAGAGGGGACAGAAATTAAAATTAAAATGGGGGAGGCATATTTCTTCATTGTAGATCTCTGTAATGTTTAAGTTAGTATTTGTGCTGTTTCCTCAGCTACAGGGGTATAAGATGAAAATGTCTTTCTTGGAAGATTTCTGATTAAATTTTTGTTTCTTCTTTAAACAGTGTAAGTACAGTTGACCGTCATTATTTGTAGTGGTTATGTTCAACAACATTGCCACAAACACAAAATTAACAAATACTGAACAATTGCTCTTAAGTAAAATACAAGGTTATGTTCCTGCAAGCCTCCGGTCATTTTTATCAGCTAATCAATTCTTTCAGTTTGTTTTATGGGTGATTCTGTTTAAGGATATCTTATTTAACATATAGTGTCGTTCCACTAACTTTGAACTCACAGCCAATAGTACTAACTCATGCCTAAATGAAGTTTGCCTAGCACATGTGTTTTACCTATAAGGCACATCACAGTCTTCTTGTGCTTAGAAACACTAGATAGCATTTTCAGCACTGGGGGTCATTTTAAACAGAAAGATAGCACAAAAATGCAAAAAGAAAGACACTAAGTAGGCTGACACTTGTTTACAGTATGAAAACTGAAACCAGAAGGCCAAGTGTCACCTTGTTGACTTCAGTAGGGAACTCTGTTGGGTGTGTCAGGTCCCCAACACACCACAAAAGTGCCAGGAATATTTATTTGAGGGTTACAAATAAATCTTGGCAAGTAGGAAAATTCATAAATATGGAATCCCCAAATAATAAGGATCAATTCTACTTCTTCTGTCACATTTTTCTTTCTTTGTTGCCTTAAGTAAATGCCTAAGCTGCCTGGAAAGAAGTTAGTAATACCAGGTGATCTAGAATATCTCAATTTCTCCAGTGGAATACAGGCCATAATTCCTAAGCCCCAGACATAAAACCAAACTTGACAAGGCTTTTTCCCTCTCAGTGCAAAAACTGACACTAAATCAACCTGTCCATAACATTCACAAGAATTATTCAGGGCCAGATTGAAGCTCTACAGCCTTCATCTGCCATCAGATAAATTAAGTCAAGACATATTAACTGTCGGCTTAAGCAAAATATAAAGAAAGATGGCAAGCCTGTTAAATCACAATATAAATTTCCTAACCAAGTATAATCAATGTAGATATTAACCACTATTTCAATTTTCCCTATTGTACATGTCTTACCTTCCAACTGCCAAGAAAAGAATAAATACACATTTCCCCAGAGTTGAGCTAAAGATACGCTATTCCTGTCTTACATCCCTGACATCACTCCACACATAAGTCATTCAAGACCTGTCTGCCTGGGAAAGCTTAGGTCATTCTTGGGTTAGAATGGTAAACATGAATTTAAAATCATTACTATTAAGAAGTACAGCTAGCAAAAGAGTTCTAAAATACATACTACAAGCCTATAGCCAATTTATTTCATTTTTTTCCTAGTTTTGTTTTTTTGGTTGTTTTTAGTCAGAGTCTTACTCTGTTGCCTAGGCTGGAATGCAGTGGTATAATCATAACAATCAAGGCTCAGAGCAGCCTGAACCTTCTGGGCTCAGGTGATCCTTATACCACAGTATCCCAAGTAGCTGAGACTATGGTACGTGCCACCATACCTGACAATTTTTTAATTTTTTTGTAGAGACAAGGTTTTGCTATGTTGCCCAGGCTAGTCTCAAACACCTGGGCTCAAGGAATCCACTCGCCTTGGCCTCCCAAAGTGCTGGGATAACAGGTGAGAACCACCACACCTGGCTCTATTTCATATCTCTAAGCATCACCTACAGTACTGAACTCAAGAAATTTCTGCATTATCAATATTCCCAACAGTATTTAGCAATGGGTCACAATAAAATATCTGAAGAGAGGGAAACCCCTTTGGGCCCTTCCCACTTTTCTGTCCTCTCAATAAATCCTGCTTTCAAAAAAAAAAAAAAATTCTGGAGGGGAAAAAATAATTCTGGTTAGAACACTGGTTGTTAAGCTCTGATTCTCAAATGAGGCAATACACTGGAATCACCAGGTCCCAACCCCATGAGAGTTTCATTTCACTGGTCTGGGGGGTACAGCCATGGCACTGAATTTTCAAAAATTCCCAAGGAAATGCTAATATACAACAAAACTTGGCAACCACTAGTTTAGAAGAACTGGCTTAACATTTTAGATGACCAGGAGCTCTCCCTACAGCTAATTTATCCAATAAATGACTATAATAAATGTATACTGAGAGAAATATTTATATTTTAAATTCATAATAACTAACTACTTGAGTAATAATCATGAAAATAATCTAGATATCAGAATGGCTGGCACAGAAATATATGACTATCTATCAAATGTCATACAAAGGTCTATAAAAGCCTGAGGTCCCCTGAATATACAAAGTTATGTCTATCCTTATATGTCTATCATCCCAGCTTTGAAATGGCAGGGGTAATATGAAAAGGGGTAAATGAAAGGCAAATGCTATACAATTGTTATATTGTATTTTTATTTGTGTTTTTTATTGTTACATTATTTTTTTCTTGAATATTTGCAATGTGCAGCTGATTGAATCTGCAGATGTGGAACACAAAGATGTGGAGGACTGACTGTATATATTTTGATGGAATCAATAATACACTAATTCAATTGAATTCCTCAATCATACATGGTTTGAGTAAAGAGTAATTCCAAGCACTATTATATAAACAAGAATAAGACATTATCCTTGGCACCAAGATGCCTATAATTCAGGCATTTTTCTCAATAGCTATAGGATTTCCTGCATTCTCACTGGAATAAAGAGAGTAGAAGGGGGGGAAGCAAGCAACTGATATCCAACCTAATGCTAAGTACTTAATTATACCAAGTAGCCTTTCGCCAATCTCCAACATCTCAGTTCTGTCTTGTAAGATACCAACATGATCAACAATACTCATTTGGCACAGTGTTAGGTACTGCTGCTAACCCTGAGAAAGAGAATAGTGTAGTAAGACCCACTTTTCTCTCCCCAAAGAGCTTCAAATCACTTAAACACTTGCAATCTCTTAGAAAATATCAGTCTTAGATATGGAAAGATAAAATATCTAAGCAAGAGAAACTGAGAAGAAAATATTACTGACCTTTAATTTCTCCTGCCCTTGCTTTTTTGTAGAGTCCTTTGACATCTCTCTGCTCACAAACATGCAGAGGAGCATCAACGAACACCTCGAAAAAAGGTAAACTTGCACCCTCATGAATCTGCCTTGCGTTGTTGCGATCCTTAAAAAATGATATACATGGAAAAAATAGAAAACATCACATGAATTACAAAGGTACTATATTAATATCAAAGATGAGTACAGAGTGCTTTTCACTGAAGTTAATGGAAACTATATTAGACAAAAATCAATTTATATTCTTAATATATAAGCTGAAAGAAGTAAATCCAAGAAATTATTAGCTTAACACCAATTCTTTACCTGCTTTAAAAGGCATACTATTCTATAAACCCAGGATAAGAGGATGTCAGAGGATGGAAACAATGGATGTGCCATAAAACCTTTTACCTAATTCTACAGGGAACCTGAGCCAAAGCCCAGCTCAAATGCAGATGTCATCAGGATGCTCTGTAGCATCACGTTCAGCCTAAGCCTGAGCTGGCATGAAAGCAACTTCAGAAAAGAAATCCATCCAGTTCTCTGAGGCTAGTTTATATCTTTGTCAAATGCAAGCCCCTGCATTCTCTTCTCCTCTCTAGCATTCCCAAAACTTAAATTTTCTGCTCAGCTCCTAACACCCAACATTCAAATCATCACAAAGTCCTTCCAATTTTACCTCTAAATATTACTACTACACCTCCCCAGTTTGCTCTCCTTCCCTACTCCCTAGTTCAACTCATTTCACCTGTCTGGACAAGCTGAAGATCCTTTTAATCAGTCTTCTGGCTTCTAACTTTGATCTGCTCAAAGTCATACTCTACACCACCACCAAAAACTGACAGAGAATATGAATCTGACCATCTTACTAAACCCTTCAGAGACTACCTGCCACGACTGGAGTAAAATCCAACTTTCTTAGTGGGAGGCATCAATCCTATACCTAGCCCCACTATTCTCAGTCTTGCACTTGATGATCTATTAATAATTAATACCTGCCTGGTCTATCAGGTTGTTTCCACCTTAGGCCTTTCCCCATACTCTCCCGCAAACACACTCCACCCATCTCTTCTGGCTAAAGCAACATGCTCCCTCACATCACAGCTTCGTGGTAACCTCCTCTAGGAAGTCTTCCCTGCATGCCCAGACTGACTGAGAGCCCTTGCTTCCTCTGGGTTCTAAGTACTCACTACATATCTCTGAAATCATTTCATTAGCTTTACAAATTTAGTGTCTGGCACAACAATTAAGTTATAACCATATTACTCCAACTGTCTTTTGAAATGAAGGTGTTCCCAAGTATCCATCCATGGTTCTCTTTTTATTCTATGTATTCTTCTGTATATACTCACTCTCCTAGGTTTCAACCAATAATTAATAATTCCTAAATCTAGATCCCAACCCTATACAACTTTTCTGAGCTCTAGAACAAGTTTTCCAATGGCCCAGTGGTCATTCTACTGAGACACTCCACTAACTTCAAATGTAACCCACCTAAAATGAAATACTCATCTCCTCCCTTCCTCCCCTATATTTCTTAAGTCAAACATATCACCCTCTATTTAGAAAGCACCATTCTTCATTTTCCCCCCAAAATCAGCAATCAAGTAGGCACCCAGTTCTACTGATACAAAGGTTCAAGACCCCTCAAACATGTCCCAGCTTTTCTATTCCCATTGCTGTTTCTTGAATTCACACCATTTCCCCTGCAGAGCTGGTATTACAGCAAAATCCTCCTGACTAGTCTCCTACCTCCAGACCATTCTCATTCCAGACTTCAAAGGTGACCTCACTCAAATGTATACCCAATGACATCATTCCCTATTAGAATCTCAAACTAGAAACTCCTTAAGAGGCAAAGACCTGAGCAGTCCAGAGGTCATCATCCAGACTCTGCAAGGTGCTCTGGATTCATCTTCCCTCACAATCATCCTGCATAGCAGTCACACCTACCTACCCACAGTCCCCCCCCAAAATAAACTCTCTCACCTTCTATTGCAGATACTATACCGTATCCTATGTCTGAAATAGCTTTCTCCCTCTCTTCTAACTAGTGAACTCTGATTCATCCTTCATGACTCATTTTAAGCAGCACCTCCTCTGTGAATCTTCCATAGTACCTTTTATACGCATTTACCTCATCACTTGCCTCAAGATATTCTTCCAACTATTCGTAGCTCTATGTTCCCACCAGACTACTAACTCCTTAAGGAAAGGAACTATCAGGTTTATTTTTAGACTCAACATGCCCAGTACAATGGCTGACATAGAGGTACCAAATAAATATCTCTTGAATGAATAAGCAACCCTATGAGGTTGACATTATCTGAGCTCAGAGAGATTAGGTGAACTGGACAAGGCCACAACAGCAATAACTGGCAGAACTGAGATTTCAGCCCATTCAGGTTCAACTCCAAAGATCTTGCCTTTAACCATGATACTAACTCGCTTATTCTTTGTTATCAGGGTTTCCTAAGAGGTTATGCTATCATTCAACAAACACTACACATCTACTACATTCCAGGAGCTGGGCTTGGCATCAGGATTACCAAGATTAATAAAACTCAGTCCCAGCTCTCAAGGAGACAGCGGGATTTGGAGGTAGCATAGTATGGCAGACAAAAGCACAGATCTTAAAGACACACAACGTGGATGTAAATCCTTGCTCAATCAGTACAGTGTGTGACCTGGGGCAATGCACATCTTTGTTTCCTCATGTCTACCTTCCTCACTAGGAAATGAGAACCACATAAGTTAATTCACATAAAAGCATTTTACAATAGTTATCAGTACGCAGTAAGTGTTTGATAAATGTTAGTTATTACTAACATTATCATTATAGCTACCATTAGTACCATCAATGAATGAACTGGGGTTTTTTTTTAACAAAAGATTAAAGTACAATAACAAGGGCATGAAAGGTACCCAAAAAAGCCTGAGGGAGGAAGGAATGTAATCAGAAGGAAGCTATTCCTAATCTCAGTCTCAAAGTATGAACAGAAATCAGCTGACACTGCAAAGAGAAGGACAGGAAGAAGAGTACCTTCTAGGCAGGGGGGAAACAAAAATCCCAGGATGTAAAACAAAAAGTTGATTTTTTCAGAGAAATACAAAACAGTGAATCAGTGTTGCTATTGCTACAGTCTCTAAAATAAGAGGAACAATACAATGAGAGCTAAGAGCAAGAATTTTGAGCAAAGAAGCCACAGTAGGACACATGCTAAGAAACTTAGCTTTTTCTCTAGTATGTGATACCTATCAAGTACTCACTATAGGTTTACTGAATTGAAAAGTCAAGCTTGAAATAATTTGGCTATTGGCTTGAGAACAACTTTGTTACATATTGGTTTTTTTTAATAGACTTACTCAGAAAGTCACAGCACAGAAATTACTATTATTATTCCAATTTGCATTTGGCCTCAAAAAACATGTCAACATTTAAATTTTGCCTGATACCACATTCTCAATAAATGTTATTAGAAATGACAAAAAAGCCACATACCTGAGTATAAGGTGATATAAAACTTGTGATACACACTAAGCCAGCATCCGCAAACAGCTTAGCAACTTCTGCAATGCGTCGAACATTCTCTTCTCTGTCTTCAGGACTAAAGCCAAGATTTTTGTTGAGACCTTGACGAATATTGTCACCGTCCAAAGTGTAGCATGGAATACCATGGCAAACCAAATATTCCTCCAAAGCCATGCTCACTGTAGTCTTCCCTGCTCCCGATAAGCCTAAAATTAAACAGTTAAAACAGATTCCACATGTAAAATATGAAGGATTAATACTTAGTAGTAACAAATTTTAATCATTAGCATAATTATATTCATTATTCACAACCTCCTAGTAATGGTCTTATTCGATATTTAAGATTTACCTCTTGCCTAAGAAAACAATTATAGTTCAAACATAATATGCATTTATTTTTATAACTTATATCTATGCCCAAAGGTATCCAAGAAATCACTGATAAGCTTCAAAAATGGCTTAATCAATTTTAATATCAGACAAAGTTGGGTAGATATTCACCCTGTCTCCTTTTTACCACTTTTCTAAAGCTGCATACCAAACATTTTAAAACAAAGCTATATGCCCAAATTACTTCTGGCAAGGGAAGGAAAAGGAAGGACACAAGTAAGTGAAATATTACAAAGTTAGCTTCATTTTCCAGGATCATCACCTCTTACAGACTAATCCATGATAAAACAATCTGGTAGTCCAACTTATAATTAACCTTAAAAGAATCCCCTCATTTCAACTCACCATCCTTTATCATTGGCATTTATTCACTAAACAACAAGGACAAGGAAAGAGCACATTTATGCACTAATACTTGCCAACCTGGTGAATATATAATTATAGAATTCATAACCAAAATAGTTATAAGGCAGGAGATAAAATAGTGAAGTCTAAAATCCCAATGCTCTTGAAAGAAGTCTTAGTAGTAAAGGACGCTATTAAAATGGTAAAGCAAACTAAAATAGTGGTTGTTTTATACCAATAGGTTTTGGGTAATCTGTTTACAGAGTAACTGGAACACAGAAATTATGGCTGGGGAGGAGAGGGTTGTTCTGTTTTTTTTACTATTGTTGGTTTTAACTACTAATTGAGCACCAAGAATCAAAGGGAGTAAAACTGAAACCTGAAAAAAATCTAAACTTTTTATACAACAAAAACAACCTAAATTACAATTAAAATGTCTGTTTATACACACATGTACATTTATATATTTTATGTATATAATTTGAAACAATATATAATGTTAAATGAACTGAATCACTGGCATTAATAAGTTTCATTGAGATGATTATAGTGAACAGACAAAATAGCAAAGAAATTAAGGCAGTCAGAGGAAATTGATAGCAAATGCAAGACAGACCATCTAAAGTCAACATAAGGATAGTTGGTATACCTGAAGAGGGGAAACCAACTGTACTGGGTTGAATAGTGTCCCAAAAATATTCATGTCCAGCTGTGATCTCAGAATGTGACTTTAACTGGTTATAGAGTCTGTGCAGATACAATCAAAGTTAAAACAAAAGGAGGTCATACTGGATTATTGTGGGCCCCAAATCCAATGATAGGAATCCTTATAAGAAGGCTATATGAGGACAAAAGCAGACACTGGAGTGATATGTCCACACAACAAGGAACACTAAGGAGTGCCAGAACCACTCGAAGTTAGAAGAGAAGAATAAAACAAACTCTCCTTCAGAGCCTCAGGAACCAATCTCACCAAAAAAACTTAATTTCGAATTTCTAGCCTCCAAAACTGTGAGAAATTAAATTTGTGGTTGATTTGGTACAGGAGCCCCAGGAGACTAATATAACAACCAACCAATGTAAAAATACAAAACATGAGAATTTATCTGAAATAAAATCTGAGAAAGATTGAACCACGTCCAGAAAATGGTATCCAAATCCCTTGATACCTTAGAAAAATCCTAGTTAAGCAACTGAATTGCAAGAAAAAGAAAGAGCATTTGCAAGAGAACTAGAGAAAATGAGATATGGAGTTAATGAAAAGATTGTCTAACCTAAATTCCTAATACTTAGCTCAGTTGTTTCCAACCCTAGGTAGATAGCAGAATCACCTAGAAAACATTTTTAAAAAATAATTGGAGCCGGGCTCAGTGGCTCAGCCTGTAATCCCACGCTTTTGTGAGTGGATTGCCTGAGCCTGCAGGTTCGAGACCTGCCTGGGCAGCGAGACTTCATCTCTACAATAAATAAAAAAAAAAATCAGCCGGGCATGGTAGCGCATGCCTGTAATTCCAGCTACTCGGAAGGCTGAGGTGGAAGGATCGCCGGAGCCTAGCAGGTGAGGCTGCGGTGGCTGGGAGTGGCCACTGCACTCCAGTCTGGGTGACCGAGTGAGACTCCAACTCAAAAAAAAAAAAAAAAATTGGGATTTCCGGCAAGATGATTACAGAACAGGTCGGACTATGAGAATCTCTGCAAAAGGGAGTGTCCATAAAGACTATCTGTGAGAGTGGGTATGTGCTGGTGGGTGAGTGAAAGTCTTTCTGAGGGTAGACTCAGGTTTGTGCACCCAGGGCTCTCCTCCAGAGGTGACTGTAGCCCCTCACTGTCCTGAGATTGGAACCCCAGGTGCTCAGGATCATCTGCTGTTCTTGAGGCTCTCCTGAGAAAGGGCAGAAGAAAGCAGCTGATTCTCACCACCTGGTGGCCGACTCACACCGTCACCTATGACAGCAGAGCAGCAGGATCCCCAGAATCCATGGAGAGGGCAGGGGGAAGCTGGAAAAGGAACCCCAACATCGGTGAGGAAACCCCTACAAGTGTCATTTTCTCTATCCTGGGACCAGGCAGAGACCTGCATTGCCTCGACCAGCTCTGCCCAGTCTCCAGCCAGGAACCTAGAGATTATATTCTCATCAAACTCAGGGAGAGGCTGGGCATGGTTGCTCATATCTATAATCTCAGCACTTTGGGAGGCCAAGGTGAAAGGATTGCCTGAACCCACGGGTTTGAGATCAGCCTGGGCAACTTGGCAAGACCTCATCTCTACAATAAATCAAAAAATTAGCCAGACGTGGTGGTGCTTGCTTGTAGCTCCAGCTACTTAGAAGGCTGAGGCAGAAGGAAAGGATCACCTGAACTCAGCAATTCAAGGCTGCGGTGGCTGTGAGCATGCCACTGCACTCCAGTCTGGGCAACAGAGTGAGACTCCAACTCAAAAAGAAAAAAAAACACAGAAAACAAAAAAACTTGGAGATACAGACACCTCCTCCCCCACACTGGATCAGGCACAGACACATCAGATCTGAGTGGGAGACTTGACAGCAGCAGCAACAAGCCAGGTGAGTTCAGATCTAATCCACCCTCCTCCCACAGTAGTCCATGGGGCATCTGACACAGGCTGAGAGCCACCCTATCTGCTGAGAGCAGAGGGGAAGGGCTAGAGACCAGAGCTGAAATGAAGCTGGAGTTACAGGATTGGACTGACCTCAGAGTGAGTTTTGGGTTTTTTTTTGTTGTTTGGTTGGTTGGTTGGGTTTTTTATCTTGTTTTTGTGTTGTTGTTTTTTGTTTACTTTTTGCTTTAGTTTTTTCTTTTCCTCTTCCCTCTTTCTGTTTTTGACTACATTTTCATTCTTACTTTTTTTCTGTTATTTTAATGCTGTTTTATTTAGATTTCCTGTTTGTGTCTGGGTATTTTTGAGGGAAAGTACATCAAAAGGGGTATTTTTGTCGTTTTGTGTGTTTGTATGATTGTATAAATATACATTTTTGCTTTTTTTAATCTTTTCTTTGTGTCTCATTTCATTTGTTAGTTGGTACACCTGTCTGTTTTCTTTCTTACTCTTCTCTCTCAACCTTCCTCTCGTCTCCTCCTTCCTTTTTCCACTCTTCCTTTTTCTTACCTCATTTTGCTTTCAAGGGGCAAACCCATAACCCTGCTGTGTGGACAGATTATAAGGCAGTGGGAAGTGGGTTCCAGGGTGCCCACACACCTGTGAGCAGATACTGGGATCTGCAGATAGTTTCTGAATCACAGGTCCCCCTCTCAATTAAATCTCAAAACTTCAAAAAGTGCAGCTCTTCACCCACAGTCCAGCTTCAGAATTGAACAAAGCAAGAAGATCTGCATAAGGAAAAGTAGGAGATTAAGCAAACAGGAGTAAAAATTACCCCTCATCCCTGAACAGCAGAATTAAAGAAGAGGTTAAAAAGGCGGGGGGGGGGGGGGCGGAAATCTACACAAATGTAGAAAAACCAAAGGAAGAATATAGGTCTCACACAGACCACTGGAAGGTAAACCAATAAGAATACAGACTTTGGAACACAAATAATGAAGAACCCCCTTCTTTCTATTAATATCTTTGATATCTGAGTTTGTCATAAACCCAGAATTAATAGAGAGAATTAATAGAAATCAGGAGAGACAAGAAGAATGAAGGAGTTGATAACTGAGAAAACAGCAATAAAGAATACAGTGAATGAAAAAAATAATAAACTGATAAGCATGGAAAGCAGACTTAACCAAGCAGAAGAAAGAATATCAGAGCTTGAGGACAAAAATTTGGAACTAACCCAAACTGTTAAAAACACAGAAAAAGGCCAGACTCAGTGGCTCAGCCTGTAACCCAGCACTTCGGGAGGTTGAGGCAAATGGATTGCCTGAGCCCACGGGTTCAAAACCAGCCTGGGCAACTTGCGAGACCTTGTCTCTACAATAAATAAAAAATTAGCCAGGCATGATACTATGTGCCTGTAATTCCGGCTGCTTAGAAGACTGAGGCAGAAGGATCGATGAAGCCTAGCAGGTCGACGCTGAGGTGGCCATGAGTATGCCACTGTACCCCAGCATGGGCAACGGAGTGAGTCTACAACTAAAAAAAAAAAAAAAAGAAGCTTAAAAAGACAGAACAAAACTTTCAAGAGATGATCAATTATTTCAAGAGGCCAAACATAAGATTAATTAGAATCCCAGAGGCAGATAGAAAGACAGAGACCACCCTGAGACAAACATTCCATTAAATTATCCAAGAAAACTTTCCTCATCTCATCAGTGATGCAACCATTCAAACACAAGAGATTCAGAGAACCCCAGTAAGACAACAAATGAGAATACCGACTCCCAGACACGTAGTAATTTGCCCACACTAAGTAAGTATAAAAGAAAAATTTCTAAAACCAACAAGAGAGAAGGTCAGACTACCTACAGGGGAAGACCAATTAGAATAGCAGCAGACTTACCTACAGAAACA